TTAATCACCAGAAGATCTACACAGGAAGAAATAAGAAAGTCCTTCAAGCAAAGGAAAATGATACCAGATGGAAATTTCTGTCTATGCAAAGGAATGAACAATAATGGAAATGTTAAATATGTGGTGAAATATAAAGTGATTTTTCTTATTTTAAAAATATCCTTAAATGTTAATAGATTATTTAAAACAAAGCTAATAAAATGAGGAGTTTATAAGATATGTAGAAGTAAACTTCATGACAAAAGTAGCACAAAACTGGGAGAGGGAAATGGAAGTACAGTGTTGTAAGGATGTATATGTGAAGTGGTGTAATGTTACCCGAAGATTAAGGATGGTAAATTAACAATGTATATATAAACCACAGAGTAACCACTAAAAAGACAAACGAAAAAAGAGAGAAAATGGAACCATAAAAAAATACTTAATTTATCCAAAATAAGTCAGAATAAGGAAAAGTGGAACAGAAAACTACAAGACAAATAGAAAAAAATAGCAAGGTAATATAATAAACGCAACCAAATCCATAATCATATAAGTGGCTTAAATACCCCAATTAAAGGGCAGAGATTGCCATACTGTATTAGAAAGCAAAACACAACTACATGCTGCCTACAACAAACCAACTTTAAACATACAGATCCAAAAAGATTAAAAGTAAAAGGACGGAAAAAGATATGCCAAAAAGAAAGCTCAAGTAGCTATACTAATTTCACACAAAGTAGGTTTCAGACAAAGAATACTGCCAAAGGTAAAGACGGACATTTCCTAATGATAAAGGGTCAATCCATCTAGAAAATATCACAGTCCTAAGTGGTTATACAACCAATAAGAGAGTTTTAAATACATGTAGCAATAACAAAAGAACTAAAAGAGAAATAGATAAATCCATAAGAATTATAATCAGATATTTCAATACTCCTCTCAATAAGTAATAGAGTAAAAAACTGACAGAATAAGTAAACAAAAAAATTAGGAAGGACATAGAAGACTTTAACAACACTGTCAACCATCTTGACATAATTCCCATTGATGCAACACTCCACTCAACAGCAGAAGAATACACATTCTTTGCAAAGGCACATGGGACGTTTACCAAGATAGATATATTCTGGACCATAAAACATTTTAAATAAATTTGAATGAAATAAAATCATGTAATGTAGGTTTCCTAACCATAACAGAATTAAATTAATAATTGCTTAGAAAAATATCTCCAGGAAATCCCCAAATATTTGGAAACTAAATAACATACTTCTAAATAAGCCACGGGTCAAGAAGAAATCAAAATAAAAATGAAAATGCATTTTGAAATGAAGGAAAATCACACATCAAAATTTGGGAGATACAACAAAAGTAATGCTTATAATGATATTTCTAGAACTGAACCCTTATATTAGAAAAGAAAAATAATTGCAAATCAATAACCTCAGCTTTGACCTTAAGCAATTAGAAAACTAGAAAAAGCATATTAAACCCAAGTAAGCAGAAAAATAGAAATAAAATTCAGAGCATAAATCAAAGAAGCAGAAAACAGAAAACTAAAGAACATAAATCAATGAAACCAAAACTGGTTCTTTGAGAAGAGGAACAAAACTGATACACCTCTAGCTAGAGTGTTCAGGAACAGAAGAGAAGACAAATTAACAACATTGGGAATGACAACGGAGAATCACTAAAGAATCTCATGATATAGAGTAAAACTTCTTAACATAAGTTTAGCAAACTGAATCTAATAATATATAAGAAAGACAATACAGGGGCTGGCCCAGTGGTGCAGCAGTTAAGTTTGCTCATTCCACTTCAGCAGCCCAGCATTTGCCATTTGGGATCCCAGGCACAAACCTATGCACCACTTACCAAACCATGCTGTGGCATGTGTCCCACATATAAATAGAGGAGGATGGGCACGGATGTTAGCCCAGGGCTTATCTTCCTCAACAAAACAAGGGAGGATTGGTGGTTCAGGCCTAATCTTCCTCAAAAAAAAAAAAAAAAAGATAGACAGACAATACAGCACAACCAAGTTGAGTTTATCCCAGGAATGCAAGGTTGGTTTAACATTCCAAAATCAGTCAATGTAATTCAACATATTGACTAAGAAAGAAAAGTCCTATGATGATCTCAATAGATGCAGAATGAGCATGACAAAAATGCAGTATCAATTTCTGATAAAAACTCTCAGAAGATTTGGAATAGAAGAGAACGCTTTCAACCTGATTAAGGACAGCTACATAAAATCCACTGCTAACAGTATATTTAGTGGTGAAAGACAATGCTTTCCCCAAAAGGTGAAGGAAAAGGCAAAGATGTCTGCTCTCACCAGTTCTATTAAACACTATACTGTAGGCTTTAGCTAGAGCAATAAGGGAGAAAAGTGAATAAAGGTCACCTATATCTGAAAGGAAGAAGTAAACTGTCTTTATTTGTAGATGAAATTATTTTCTACATAGAAAATCCCATGGAATCTACAAAAAGAAATTAAATGAATTGAGCAAGGTTGCAGGATATAAGAACAATATACAAAAATAAAGTGCATTTAGATAGAACCGGAAATTGAAATTTTTAAGAATTATTCATGATAGCAAAGAATATGAAATACATACAGATAAATTTATCAAAATATGTGCAAGATTTACACATTGAAAACTACAAAACATTACTGAGAGGAATTAAAAAAGCCATAAATAAAGGAAGAGATATACCAGGTGTATGAGACAAGGAAACATCATTATGATGTCAATTCTTCCCAGATTGATCCATAAATTCAGTACAATTCCAGTCAAAGTCCCAGAAGACATTTTTGTAAAGGTGATTCTAAAATATGTAAGGAAATGCAAAGGACCTGATATAGTCAAAACAACTTTGGGAAAAAAAATTGAAGACTAACACTACCTCATTTCAAAATGAGATACAATAGTTAATATAGTAAAGCTGCAGTAATTCACATAGTATGCAAGACAAATAGATCAATGGAACAGAGTACAGAGTCCAGAAACAAATCTACACGTGTATGGTCAAGTGATTTTTCAACAAATATTCCAAGGAAATTCATAGAGAAAAGCATAATTGTTTCAGTAAACGATCTAGAACTATTGGACAGCCATAGGAAATAAAGAAATAAGGGAGAGGGCAAAGGGAGGGAAGAAAGAAAGAGAAAGAACCTCAACCTATACTTCACACAATATCCAAAAGTTAACGTAAAATGGCTCATAAGTTGAAATAAGATCCAAAACTATAACTGTGTTTCTAGAAGAATACATAGGAAAAAATACTATTGTTCTTGTGTTTGCCTAAGACTTCTCTTTTTTTTGTTAAGCTCACCACCTGAGCTAACTGTTGCCAATTTTTTTTTTTCTGCTTTTTCTCCCCAAATCCCCCCAGTACATAGTTGTATATTATAGTTATGGGTCCTTCTAGTTGTAGTATGTGGGACGTTGCCTCAACATGGCCTAATGAGTGGTGCTATGTCCACACCCAGGATCCGAACCAGTGAAACCCTGGGCTACTGAAGCGGAGCGCATGAACTTAACCACTCAGCCACGGGGCTGGCTCCTGCCTAAGACTTCTTAAGTATGTCACAAAAAAGCATAAAGAGTAAAAAGAAACACGTAAATTGGGCTTTATAAAAATTAAAAGCTTTTGCTCTTTCAAAAACACTGTTATAAAAATTAAAAGGTAAGCCACAGACAGGAAGAAATTATATGCAAAACATACACCTGATAAAGGACTTATATGTAGAATAAATAAAAAAACTCCTATAACTCAATAATAAGAAAACCTAATTTTTAAAAAAATGGGTAAAATATTTGAAGATACTTTACCCAAGATGATACATATATATGGAAAATAAACACATGAAAAGATGCTCAACACCATCAGTCATTAGGGAAATGCAAATTAAGCACACAATGAAATACCACTACATTTCCACTGGAATGGCTAAGACGAAAAAGACTGACATGCCTATCTCATTGACAAGAGTGTCTAGCAATTAGAACTGTCAGAGACTGCTGGTGGGAACGTAAAATGCTACAACCACTTTGGAAAACATTTGGGCAGTTTTTTAAAAAGTTAAACATAAGCCAACTATGATCCAACCATTCTATTCCTATGTATTTATCCATGAGAAAAGAAAACACATGTCCATACAAATTCTTACACATTAATCCTAAGGACATTACTTGTAACAACAAAAACCTAGAAACAACTCAAGTGTCCATCAACAGGTGAATGGATAAACAAATTGTGGTATACCCATACAATGGAACACTACTCAGTGATATAAAAGAATGAACTGTTGTTACACACAAAATGGATGAACCTCAAAATAATTACACTGAGTGAAAGAAGCTAGAAAAAAGGAGAGTACATACATTTGATTCCACTTATATAAGATTTTTAAAACTATAAACTCATCTATAGTGGCAGAAAGCAGATCAGTGATTTCCAGGGCTGAGGGTGTGAACAAAGAAGGCAGAAGAGAGAGATTTCAAAGGAGCAGAAGAAAATTCCTGGAGATGATGGATATGGTCATTATCTTGATTGTGGTGATAGTTCCTGGATGTAGACATATGTCAAAACTCACCAAATTTATAGTTTAAATATGTACAATTGATTTTATTTCAAGTATACCTTAACAAAGTTGTAAAAAAAAAAAAAAAATCACATGTCCTATGACCCATTCTTCAGAGGCCTACATAAAAACATGGCAAATAAATTAATGCCGAGTGATATATGTTTTCCAGCTGGGGATATTCAGTGTTTCACTGCAGAGAAATACATTGCTGAAGGTAACACTGGGGGTATAATGGTAGAGACCCATAGGTCAGAACATTCCAGTCCTGCTCAAATCCTTCTACAGAAAACTGCACACAATGCTCTCTCCTTGTCTGGGGCATAGCCAGGCGCAGGAAAGGGGGACAATCTAGACAGTTAAATTGTACATTAACTATCACATTAACAGCAGTCTACATGGTTTATTAGTTTTGAAAATCACTTACCTAGATTTGTCATTTAATTTAGAAGCCTGAATTTTTACTGAAGCTTCTTGTAAATCTGAAGAATTCTCAAGTTCTGAAGCAACTTTTGATCATGAAAATTAAAAACGAAAATTGTTGAGTATCTCAAGTAAACATTTAAATACACCACTCAATCTTATGTATGATAGATTTTTAAAAATCTGACCTTTTTCTGTATCATCCAGTTTCGATTTTTCATGTGAATGACTAGGTGTACTTGTTTGCTGCAAAAAATACATACACATTAAATTATGGTGACTTTGAAATTCTTTTGGAGCCCTTTACACCTCCAAAGAAAAGCGTTTCCATTGAGTACTAAGATACCAGGCTCTCTGTTCATTAGACTTGGCTCCAAATGACTAATGGCTGTTCCAAAAAATTGATATCCACCCTCAGGAGAAGATTTGCCACTACCAAAGACAAGAAGAGTATCTCAAAATTATTAAAAGAAATATCAAAAGACGACTTACAAAAATGTCTTCAACAGCATCAGAATTGTTGGGATGAACACACAACTTCTAAAGGAGACAATCTGAAGGATAATCTTTGGTGTATTTGTTTAAAAAAATCATGACACTACCATAACACTTCTGTATAACGTGTACTGGTAGTCAAACGTAAAACTATGACAAATAGACTGAATACCTATATACGCCAAGCAGTGTGTTAGGTGCTTTATGTAAATTATGTTTTTAACCCTAAGAGGACTACACTGTGAACCAGCTATTACTTCCATTTTATAGATGAGAACCCTCAGGCTCAGTGAAGCTAAGTAATTAGCCTAAGTTCCCACAGTTAGTAAGTGAAAACCACGTCTGACTTCAAACATCAGACTCCTTTCCCTACATCCCAGTCTCCATATCCAAATGAGAGAATGAGGCAGAGCCAGCCAAGACACACATTCCATGGGAGAGCCAAGTTGAGTGAAAGGAGAGAACAAATAAACACGGCAGGCAAAAATAATCTAAAGGAGCATATGGTTAAAAAACCAGAGATTATGGCCAGGAGAAAATGGACAACAAGCCAGGAAAAGCAGCTTCCACCTGTCAGCATCCTGGTGGACACAGTTGGAATCTTGTCCTAAGCTTTCCATACTCACAGCAGGCTCAGACTGGTTAAAGGGCAGAGTTATTAGGCAGCGGTCATCTCCAGCACTTGTTAACTCTGCCAGCTTGGTAGATTCTTCTGCTTGGTCTGCACATGTTAAGAAAAGAGTATTAAAAAATAACAATAACCATGCATAACGCTGGTCATACCCTCCAATTTCTCTCCATGGGATGCATGCTGTTGGTACATCACCATCTTTTGGTAAGAGCTGGTAATCAGGTCCTGCCTCAAATCTTATTTTGTAAATCTATGGGCACTTTGGAAAACAGCCTTTGGGTGGAACTCATAAGAGATATATAATCCATGCAGGGCCAGCTTTGTGGGTGGACAGGCCCCTCCACAATCCCATCTTCTTGCCTCCCACCATCCCATCATTTTTTCTCCTTTGTGATTTCCAGTTGACCCCAAGAAAGACTGTATCAGTAGGGAAAATAATTCAAGGCTTCATTAGCAGCTTTTATTTCTCCAAAGGTACAATAACACATTAGTTACTCTTATGTGACCAGAGGTTTTCAGTGATGTCTCCCAAGATTTTATCACTGCTTCTACAGAGTAAAAAAATTTTATTTCCAAATATACCTGTCTCTCTTTTGTCGCTGCTGGGAAATTCAATGTCGTCTTTCGCAAATTCACCAAAATGTTCTGAGAATTTTGTCTGGTCAGGCAACATCTGAAATGGAAGTCAAAAGCCATATAACTTTTAAAAGCAAAAATCTTTTTTAAAAATTTAATATTAACAGACCTAAAGAGAGAAATAGACAACAATACAATAATAGTAGGGGAATTTAATACTCCACTTACAGCAATGGATAGATCACTGAGACAGAAAATCAATAAGGAAACATCAGCCTTAAATGACACATTAGACCAGATGATCTTAACAGATATACACAGAATATTCCACTGAAAAGCAACAAAATATACATTCTTCTCATGTGCACATGGAACATTCTCCAGGATAGATCATATGTTTGGCTACAACATGAGTCTTAATAAATTTAAGACTGAAATTAAATCAAACATCTTTTCCAACCACAGTGGTATGAAACTAGAAATCTGTTACAAGAAGAAAAGTGGAAAATCACAAACATGTGTAGATTAAATAACACGCTTCTGAACAACCAGTGGGCCAAAGAATAAATTAAAAGAGAAATTTAAAAGATATCTTTGGAAAAATGAAAGTGGAAATACAACATACCAAAACTTATGAGATGCAGCAAAAGCAGCTCTAAGAGGGAAGTTCATAGTGATAAATGCCTACATTAAGAAACAAGAAAGATCTCAAATAAACAACCTAATCTTACACCTCAAGGAACTAAAAAAAGAACAAATGAAGTCAAAGGTAGTAGATGGAAGGAAATAAAGACCATAGTGGAAATAAATGAAATAGAGACTAAAAAGACAATAGAAAAGATCCGTGAAACTAAGAGCTTGTTCCATCAAAAGATAAACAAAATTGACAAACCTTTAGCTAGACTCACCAAGACAAAAAGAGAAAAGGCTCAAATAAATAAAATTACAAAAGGAGACAATACAGCTGATATCACACAAATTCAAAGGATCATAAGAAACTACCACAAACATTTAAATGTCAAATATTTGACAATCTAGAAAACATGGGTAAGTTCCTAGAAACATACAACCTACCAAGACTGAATCAAAAGAAATAAAAAATCTGAACAGACTGATTACTAGTAAGGAGACTGAATGAGTACAGGCATACCTCATTTTATTGCACTTTGCTTTCCTGCACTTGGCAAATACTGCTTTTCTTTAAAATTCTTTTTTATTGCACTAACAGCAGCTTATAATATTACATAAATTTCAGGTGTACATCATTATATTCCAATTTATGTGTAGATTACAACATGTTCACCACCCAAAGACCAATTACAATTCATCACCACACACATGTCTAATCACTCCTTTTGCCCTCCTCCTTCCCGTCTTCTCCTCTGGTAACAACCAATCCAATCTCTGTTGCTATGTGTTTGTTTGTTGTTGTTTTTATCTTCTACTTATGAGTGAGATCATATGGTATTTGACTTTCTCCCTATGACTTATTTCACCTAGCATAATACCCTCAAGCTCCCTCCATGTTGTCACTAAAGACTGAATTTCATCATTTCTTATGGCTGAAGAGTATTCCATTGTGTATATATACCACATCTTCTTTATCCATTCCTCCCTGGATGGGTACCTATGTTGCTTACAAGTCTTGGCTATTGTGAATAATGCTGCAGTGAACAAAGGGGTGCAATATCTTTACACATTTGTGTTTTCATGTTCTCTGGATAAATACCCAACAGTAGAATAGCTGGATCATATGGCAGTTCTATTTTTAACTTTTTGAGGAACTTCCATAGCGTTTTCCATAGCGGTTGCACCAGTTTGCACTCCCACCAGCAAGGGATGAGTGTTCCCTTCTCTCCACATCCTCTCCAACACTTATTATTTCCTGTCATCTTAATTATAGCCATTCTGGCAGCAGTAAGGTCATATCTCATTATAGTTTTGATTTGCATTTCCCTCATAGTGGTGTTGAACATCTTTTCAACACCTGTTGGCCATCTGTATATCTTTTTGGGAGTAATGTCTGTTTAGATCTTTTGCACATTTTTTAATTGAGTTGTTAGGGGTCTTTTTTGGTTGAGATGTATGAGTTCTTTATATATTTTGGATATTAACCCCTTATCTGATATATGGTTTGCAAATATCTTCTCTCAATTGTTAGGTTGCCTTTTCATTTTGTTGATGGTTTCCTTTGCTGTGCAGAAGCTTTTTAGTTTGATGTAGTCCCACTTGTTTATTTTTTCTATTGTTTCCCTTGCCCAGTCAGACACAGTACTTGAAAATATGCTGCTGAGACCGATGTCGAAGAATGTACTGCCTATGCTTTCTTCTAGAAGTTTCATGGTTTCAGGTCTTACAGTCAAGTATTTAATCCATTTTGAGTTAATTTTTGTGTATAGTGTAAGATAGTGGTCTAGTTTCATTCTTTTACATGTGGCTGTCCAGTTTTCTCAACACATTTACTGACTAGACTTTCCTTTCTCCATTGCATATTCTTGGCTCCCTTGTTGAAAATTAGCTGTCCATAGATGTGTGGGTTTATTTACGGGATCTCAATTCTGTTCCATTGATCAATGTGTCTATTTTTGTGCCAGTGCCATACTGTGTTGGTTACTATAGCTTTGTAGTATATTTTGAGATGAGGGAGTGTGACATCGCCAGCTTTGTTCTTTTTTCTCAGGATTCCTTTGGCTATTTGGGGTCTTTTGTTGTTCCATATAAATTTTAGGGTTCTTTGTTCTATTTCTGTGAAAAATGTTGTTGGAACTTTGATAGGGATTGCATTGAATCTATAGATTGCTTTAGGAAGTATGGACATTTTAACGATGTTAATTCTTCCAATCCAAGAGAACAGAATACCTTTCCATTACTTTGTGCCTTCTTCAGTTTCTTTCAACAATGTGTTATAGTTTTCAGTGTACAGATCTTTCACCTCTTTGGTGAGGTTTATTCCTAGATATTGTATTCTTTTTGTTGCAACTGTTAATGGGATTGTACTCTTAATTTCTCTTTCTGCTACTTCATTGTTGGTGTATATAAACACAATTGATTTTTGTATGTTGATTTTGCATCCTGCAACTTGACCATCTTGATTGTTTCTAAAAGTTTTGAAGTGGGTTCTTTAGGGTTTTCTATATATAAAATCATGTCATCTGCAAATAGTAACAGTTTTATTTCTTTCTTTCCAATGTGGATCCCTTTTATTTCTTTTTCTTGCTTGACTGCTCTGGCTAAGACTTCTAATACTATGTTAAACAAGAGTGGTGAAAGTGGGCATCCTTGTCTGGTTCCTGTTCTTAGGCAGATAGCTTTCAGTTTTTCTCCATTGAGAATGATATTAGTTGTGAGTTTGCCATTATGGCCTTTATTATGTTGAGGTACTTTCCTTCTATACCCATTTTCTTCAGAGTTTTCATCATAAATGGATGCTGTAGCTCATCAAATGCTTTCTCTGCATCTATTGAGATACGATCATGTGATTTTTATTCTTCATTTTGTTAATGTGGTATATCACATTGATTAATCTGTGGCAACTCTGTTTACAGCAAGTCTATTGGCATCATTTTTCCAACAGCATTTGCTCACCTGGTGTCCCTCTGTCACAATTTGGTATTTCTTGTAATATTTCAAACATTCTCATTATATTTGTTATGGTGATTTGTGATCAGTGGTCTTTGAAGTTACTATTGTAATTGTTTTGGGGTACCACAACCTGTGCCACAATCTGTATGGTGAACTTAATCAATAAATGTTGTGTGTGTTCTGACTGTCCCATTGACCAGCCGTCCCCATCGCTCTCCCTCTGCTCAGGCCTCCCTATTACCCAAGACACAACAATATTGAAATTAGGCCAACTAATAACCTTACAATTGTCTCCAAGGTCCAACGAAAGGAAGAGTTCTACGTCTCACTTTAAATCAAAAGCTAAAAATGCTTAAGCTTAGTGAGGAAGGCATGTCAAAAGCTGAGACAGGCCAAAAGGTAGCCCTCTTGGCCAAAGAGTTAGCAAGTTGTAAACGCAAAGGAAACATTCTAGAAGGAAATCAAAAATGCTACTCCAGTGAATACATTAATGATAGAAAATTGAAACAGCCTTATTGGTGATATGGAGAAAGTTTTAGTGGTCTGGATAGAAGACCAAACCAGCCTCAACATTCCCTTAAGCCAAATCCTAATCCAGAGTCAGGCCCTAACTCTCTTCAAGTCTATGAAGACTGAGAGAGGTGAGGAAGCTGCAGAAGAAAAGTCCGAAGCTAGCAGAGGTTGGTTCATGAGGTTTAAGGAGACAAGCTGTCTCCATAACATAAAAGTGCAGGATGAAGCAGCAAGTGCTCATGTAGAAGCTGTGGCAAGTTCTCCAGAAGATGTAGCTAAGATAATCCATGAAGGTGGCTACACGAAACAACAGATTTTCAATGCAGATGAAACAGCCTTATATTGAAAGATGCCATCCTGGACTTCATACCCAGAGAGAAGTCAAAGCCTGGCTTCAAAGAACAGCTGACTCTTTTGTTAGGGGCTAACGCAGCTGGTGACTTTAAGTTGAAGCCATTGCTCATTTACCATTCTGAAAATCCTAGGCCCTTAAGAATTATGCTAAATCTACTCTGCCTGTGCTCTATAAATGGAACAACAAGGCCTGGATTGTAGACAGCACATCTATCTACAACACTGTTTACTGAATATTTTAAGACCACTGTTGAAACCTACTGCTAAGAAAAAAAGATCCCTTTCAAAATATTACTGCTCTTTGACAATATACCTGGTCACTCAAGAGCTCTGATAGAGATGTACAATGAGATTAATGTTGTTTTCATGACTGCTAACACGACATCCAATCTGCAGGCCATAGATCAAGGAGTAATTTCAACTTTTAAGTCTTATTATTTGAGAAATACATTTCATAAGGCTAAGGCTACCACAGATGGTGATTCTTCTGATGGATCTGGGCAAAATAAACTGAAAACTATCTGGGAAGAATTCATGATTCTAGATGCCATTAAGAACATTCATGATTCATGGAAAGAGGTCAAAATATCAACATCAACAGGAGTTTATAAGAAGTTGATTCCCACCCTCATGGATGACTTTGACAGG